AACCAAGCCATGAGCTTGATTCAATGAGGAAAACAGATAATATAAATACCTTGGGAAACGGGCTAGAATTGCATAAAGAAGATATACTTAACCTAGCTCAGAATATCTGCCAATTTTGTTGTTGTTGTTTTTAAACATTTTTTAGTTGTAAATGGACACAATACTTTTATTTTACTTATTTATTTTTATGTGGTGCTGAGGTTGTAAATTCTGTTTCAAAATCAATTCAGTTACTTCAATGTTGCAAGTTTGTAACTCAGAAGACCCAAATATAATACTTCGCCTCCTAAAATCAGTCATCAGAGTGTTTTATCCTTCTGGGAAGATTTATATAGATCTATAATGAAAGGCACCTGCCTACAGTGCTGAGGATCAGCCCCAGTGCCTCACACGTGCTAGGCAAGCACACTACCACTGAGATGCAAACCCAGCCCTATCAAGGTTTTCTTGAAGAATTCTGGATTGAGCCTGGAAGAATAGGCAGGTGAAAGCCAGGCAAAGAGAGGGAGAGAAACACATTTCTGAAAAAAGAGAAGTATCAGTCAAGATGTGGTTAGAGATGTGGGCAGAAGCAGATCATGAAGGCCACCACTTACTGTGCAGACATCCATCCCAGGTCTTAAGAATAAGCTGTGAGTCTTATATGGAAGGGTTAATTGGTGGGGCAGGGAGTGTTGGTGGAATGATAAAATTTACATATGAGGAAGGTCATATGATTTCTCAAATCTACCTGAGAACTAATGATGGCCTGAACTAAGGAAGTAGAAAAGGTGATGGAAAATAACATCAATTGGAGAAATAATTAAGACAGAATTGATGGGACTTGGAATGAGGTGGACATGTGGGTGAGAGATGAAGTCCAGCATGAATCTAAAATTTTAGATATGATGCCATTTACCATGTCAGGGAAGGGGGAGGAAGTTTAAACTTGTAAGATGAAATACAAAGTCAAATTTGGAGATATCTTTATGTGTCATATAAGTTTTATTATTTATAAAACTAATACACACATTTGCAAAAAATCTTGGAAAATATGTATACACTTGTAAAAAAATCTCCATTCAGAAATAGCCACCATTAAAAATTTCCAATTTGTTTTATGTGGCAAAAATTATAAATTTAAAAAATACTATCCCAAAATGAAGGTGCCTCATATACGTCTTAAATAGTTTGTAATATATTTTAATTAATTAATTTGAGAAGGGATCTCACTGTGTTAACCAGGTTGGCTTTGAACTTGTGGGCTCAGGTGACCTTCCTGCCCCAGCCTCACAAACATGTGGCACTACAGCTGTGTGCCATTGTGCGTGACTCTTTGCAATATATTAAATTAATTTACTCATTGCAGTGTTGGGGGATCAAGCCTAGGGTCTTGTGCATGTTAGGCAAGTTCTGTACCACTGAGCTGCATCCCCAGTCCTCCAATGTATTTTAAATCTCTGTCATTGATTATCCTTTTACATTTAAAAAAAATGATTGAGAGTATCTTACTCAATGGAAGAACCATAGTTTACACAACTATCTCTTGTTGGAGGTTTTAATTGCTTAGGATTCTCATTTTTAACAAATCATGCTTGATTTCATCACAGTTTGAATATTCCAGAAACTAAAGCAAATAGTGTTTGAAATGCATGTTAATTAGAGATGCTCCCATGTGAAGGGCAGAGTGAAGAAGCAGAGACAGGCAAGGACGAGGCTGAACAGAAGCTTCAACAGATTGCAGGACCACTGAGAAGGCCCAAGTCACTGGGTGGAATGGCTGGGCTTTTATACCACAGGTCACTCATTGTCAGAGGATAGTTGCTCTGGGAGGGTCATATCCTTAAGGGAGGCTGCTTCTGATGCTAAGGTCAACTTTGAAGGGGCTGACCATTGTGGGTGTCCACTGACCACATTCCCCAATGCTGGGCAGAAGTCTTCTGATGAATAAATTTGGATGACAACTGTATTGTTTTACGTCTTTAAAAATGAAAAGGTACCTCAAATTATTTTGGAAAATATTGGTTTTTGATGTTTTATCATAGTGAATTTTATTTCAAACTCCATAGGCACATGCCTTTCATTATAGATCTATATAAATCTTCCCAGAAGGATAAAACACTCTAATGACTGATTTTAGGAGGCAAAGTGTTATATTTGAATCTTCTGAGTTACAAACTTGCAACATTGAAGTGACTGAATTGATTTTGAAACAGAATTTACAACCCTCTATAGCCCTTTCCACTTAAGTAGTTGAACAAAAAAATGAAATTTATTTGTTAGGAAAAATTTGATATACTACTGTTAGAGAAAGAGACCAAAGGGAAATCAAGATCTTTTATTGAATGCCTCCTCCACAATAAGCAATACCCTGGACCTTTACATCCGCCATCACATTTAAATCTCACAACAATTATTTGAAATAGTTATTATCACCCCACTTTTCTGGTGACTTGGTGACGTAACATGTTCAGACATAACAATTCTCAAGCTTATGTACTTAACATGTTGGGATGCTTCCCTGAGACTACATGTCAAGCCATATAACAATGCTTCAATTAGTATAATATATGTATTTATTTACTTTTTAAAAATTGTGTTATACTTTTATTTTATTTATTTGGTTTTTGGTGCTAAGGATTGAACCCAGTGCCTCACCCATGCTAGGCAAATGTTCTACAACTGAGCTACAACCATAGTCCCAATATATGTATTTATTAACTATAGTAACATTAAGCTTCATGAAGTTTGTAGAATGTCTTTCTACTGGGATGGAAATGTGTAGGACTTGTGTCCATAATTTTTAAATTTTTGTATCACTTGTAACTTCTAGCACTTCACATAAGGTATACACTAAATATTTAGCAAATAGTGATAGCTAAAAAAGAAGAAATATATTCCTGGGTTCTTTTATTATTCCATCTTCTTCTTGGGTTTGGCCTGATCAGAGTCTAGGTAGGATGCAGAGATGTTTCAATCAGTGGCCTCCACTTCAGCAGGAATGACTGTATTCCTGAAGCTCATAAAGTCTTATAAACAGACACACTGATTACATATGGTACCAAAAAAAAAAAAAAAAAAGTTGAACAAAAACAAATCTACCAAGTAAACAGAAACCATTAGCCTTATACAGATGGTCTTCATTCAGAAGAGTAAATGGGTTCAATTCCAGCTTTAGATCTAACTTCCAGAGGACAGGAAATATAAAGGAAGGAGAAAAATGTTGAAGACACCACAAAGGAGCCATAGTACAAATTTCTTCAACAAGACAGTCATTCAAAACAAATCAAATGCAATATATGGTCATTGATTGGATCCTGGTCTGAGTAAGTCAGCTGTAAAACTTATTTTGGAATGAGTTGGGAAAATTCAAGCCTGGATTGGGTATGATTTCGCAATTATTGTTAGCTTTAGCTAGGTGTAAATTTGGTATTATGGTAATGAAGTGTCTTTTTAAAGACAAGATGCATTTTGAAACTTTTAGGGGTGAAAAATGATATCTAACTTTAACACTTTTCTGTAGAAAAGGTGATGAAGTAAATAAGGCAGAGCGCAAACCTTTGTTAAATACAGATGCAAGGTTTTAGGTATTCATTATACCAGTCCCTCTGCTCTATCTTTGACGTTTTTCATCACAAAAAGTAAACACCCAACGAAGAAAACCAATAAGAATAAAGGGTTGCTTCCTTTTTAGGAGAGAGGAACCAATCTTTATCTTCCTCCAAAGGTCAAGACATCAACTGGATGGCCTGGATAGGGCTTCTGGAGCCTGGAACCCAGGGAGTCTACACAGATGAGCTAGTGGCTTTTGGATCTGATTTAGCCACAGGCAAGGAAAGGACCCTGGTTAATCAACCCGTGCACCTTTCACTCTCTGGACCTGACCACCTACGAGGGTCGCTGCGGATTCTAAACAATCTGTCACTCAGCTGCCTATCCTCCTGAGTGTACCCACATCAAGAAATGTGGTAGTATTGACGCTCCACCTGTGAGCGTGGTCAAACGGCCTGAATTCGGGTGAGTGGGCGGGACAGGGGGGAAATGCAAAGCTTTCTGCTAGCTCGAACCCTTGATGGCCAGCAGCAGGTCCCTTCTACCTTTACCCACCTGGAAGCAGGGCGGAGAAGAGTAGGCCTTGAGCGGTAGTGTGGGGTGTTGGGGGAATACTCTGCGCGTGCCAAGGCCACTACCCTCACCTGCCGCCAGGAGAGCCCCGGTGGCCTGGAGGGGCGGAGAGCTTGGGGGCGGGGCCGCGGGCTCGGCGGGAGCTGCGCGCCACCCGCCCCAGCTGCAGGTGAGGATGGCCAGGCCAGGCTCAGCTGCTACAAGTCCCAGAGGCCTCGGGGGAGTTTTTTGGCCGGGAAAGGTGCAATTGTGTGCAGCTATTCCTGGTATGTCAGCGGGCTCTGTGGCCGCGAGCCTAGGGCGCCGCTTTCAGGGGCCCCAGGAGAGGGAAGGCGGGCAGAGGCAGGAAGGATGCGGGCGCGTGGGCTTATCCCTTCTGCGCGGAGTAGCTGTCCGAACCCCCAGCTCCGGAGCCGAGGGTCCCCCCCCCCCACCCCACGGCCCCTTGGCGGGAGGTGGCATCTCCCAGCCCAGACTGTCTGACCACAGAGGCGGCCGCGGCCGGGAACTCCCAGGAGCCGCGGGGGTGGGGGGGACGGAAGCGGCGACCCGGCAAGCCGGGGGTGGGCGTTGGGGTGGGGCGGGGCGGGGCCACTGCGAGGAGGGCGGCGGCTTCGCTGCGACTTTTGAAGTCTAAACTGTGGACTGGGCTGGTGCTGCTTGTGGTCCGCTTCTTACGCTCCTGCGCCTGCTCGGGTCCCCTTGGACTTTTGCGACAGCAACGTCTACAAGTTCTTGTAGATTTCGAAAACTTAAAACTACAAAGTCGAACAAAGGGGCAAAGAACCGGGAGTTTCGCAGCCGGAGCGGAGGCTGGGACGCCAGTTCGCGTCCCCTCCCAGACGCTGGGCCGAGACACGTGAGGGCACCCCAGCCACTCCACGCACCCACTGAGTCTCTCCCTCTTTTGCCCTAGCCATGGAAGGGATGGAGGATGCAGAGGCCGACTGCTCTGTAGCGTTCGCGGAGGCTCAGAGATGGGTGGAGGTGAGTGACTTTGAATGCTCTTCTTTGCAAATGAGTTTGCCATCCCCTGTTCTGCGTCGCGCGGCGACCGCCGCTCTTATGTGCATTGGCCTCCTCCAGTGACTTAGCTGGAGCGAAGAAGTGGCAGTTTGGGGGACTTGTTAAGTTTTGCCTGTCTTGCCTCTTACTGCCTAATTTAGGTTGGCGCTGCCCTACCCTGGCACTCTCGCTGACGTCCCCAGAACTCCTCGGCGCGCGCCCACCCGGTTTGGGGACTGCCCATCCCAGAGGACCAGCCTACATCGGCTCCGGCTGGCGGGGGATGTCTCTGCAGGCACAGCCCAGAGCGCGGGGCGCTGAGCTGGGCCAGGTCCTCTGGTACATTTATTTGGGGGTGCTTGAATAGGGATGCGCGACACATACCTGGACAGCCAGTGTAGTGTGTGTGTGTGTGTGTGTGTGTGTGTGTGTAGGAAGGGCAAGTGGAGGAGAAAGAGCTCACCTGGAGGGATACTTTCTCTGGGCAGAATCCAGCCCTGGAGTGCAGTTGGGGCACGTAGTATTTTCCGCGGGGATGATATTCTGAGGTCCCAAGATATAGTGAGGTCATTCACTGAAGGGATGTTGCTTTTCCAGCTGCGCCTCTCAGACAAGTAGACAGGATTTTCTGTTCCATTCTTTCTTGCTGAAAAGGAGATCATCTCCAGGCCACGTGTATCTGTAGAAGTGACCGCGACTCTTAGCTATTATTCTCCTGGATGAAAGTGTTTGATTTTGGGGGGTCCTGGGGATGGAACCCAGGGCCGTACTCATCTGCGCTTCACCACAGAACTACACCCCCAACCCCAATTTGACTTTTAAAATGGGACAAAAGAAAAGAAGTCTTTCAAGCCAAGTCCATCAGGTACAAGCACTTGTTAGAAAATTGCTGCATTTTGCAGTCATTTTGGAGATATTGATACCACGTGCCCGTTTATTCAAGGTATTTAAAATTACATTTCAATTTAAAGATTATTTCATGAGAAAAACAATATATTCAAGGATACCAGAGTAAATAGTATTTTTAAATAAAATCTTCCCTTAAAGAAACACACATATGTAGGGAAAACAGAAAGAATAAACTTTAAATGTCCCATTTCTGACACTAACTAAAGGAATGTGAAACGTGAGTAGCATTGCCCACTAAGACAATGGCTAGGTCTAAGAAATCAGCTTTTGGTAACTTTTTGGACTGAAACCTTGAACTGGTCTGAAGGTGACTTAGGTGTGAGGGGAGGGCACTGGATGTTGACAGAAGAATAAACACTGCGACTTTGAATTGAAATGAGAGTGGAAAAATTCCAGCAATGTAGATAAGTAACTTCCCTCATTCATAAACTTTGAAAAGTCAAGTCATCCAACTGTAATTTTCCATCAGTGGTGTTTGTTCCACATAATTTTAGGAAACAAATTAAACTCAGCATTTTCTATTTGAATGTTCAGGATAGAAGGAGGATGAAGGGAAGAAATATGGGGACATTCTGTGTGGAGTTTGGTCTGCTTTAGGAAATCTGTGAATGTGGATCATTTCATACCCTTTTCTTTTTAGTATTTAGGTTTTAGAAAACTGAGAATTCCTTGTTTGTCCTTGCTTGCTCCTAATGTGTAGGGTTTCTGTGAGAAATTTGTATACATTAAACCCCTGGAAAGCATAGTGTGATTCAAGATAATCATTGAGCTTGGAAATGTGCTCATCTTTCCACTCCCATCTTTTGTATCCTATACAAAGGTATTTATCAGCAATGATTTCATAACTCTGTATTGTGTTTGGCTCTATATTAGAAGAAGGCTGAGTCTTTCTAAAGGTATTGCCACATCTTTGTGGTATAATTAATGAAATTAAGTGATTATTTTCTCATGCTACTTGAACAACTGCAGAAGGATTATTGAAGGTACGTGAATAATTTACATATTCACATATTTCTTGAGAATCTTCTTGGGCACTTGAAGTGACAGCAATGGGCCAACTGTGAGGGTTATTTTATTTCTCCAGTTTGTGCCCACATTTCTTTCTCTTGTTAGCTATGTCTTTACAACCAAAGCACATATTTTAAAATATTGTTCTTGCCAAAAAAGGCAGAATGAATAACTTTCTCATTGCTACAACCTATTAATTTTCAGAACCCCTAATTTGAAGATGAAATGTTGATTCCAAAGTATTTTTAAAAGTATTTTGGCAAGTGAGGAAGATTATAGAGTGAATCTTTCTCCTGATTGCAAAGGCTCTTGCTCCATTTTACCCTGTCACTTTCCTCTGCATATACTGCAGCATAAGAGGGTCATTCACATGCATGCGTGTATGTACACACACACACACACACACACACACACATAATATATACTATGTGTGCTACATATAATATCTACTGCCTTTATTTTCAACTACAGTTTTAAATATCCCAAGGTCAAGAGATTCCAATAACTTTGTAAAACTTTGCATGATGACCAGATTCCATGTCATTATGTCCTTACCACTTCCATTTTTCTACTCTGATTTTATTTATTTTACTATTATTATTATTATTATTATTATTTATTGCTGGAGATTGAACCCAGGACCTCCACATACTGGGCAAGTATTCTACCCCTGAGCTACATACATCCCCAGCCCTTTTTAAATTATATAATAATAAAATGTATATTATTTTATATAGTATAAGTTGTCCAGTCTGGCCTTGAAATTGAGATCCTCTTGCTTCAGCCTCCTGAGTAGCTGGGTTTACAGGCATGGGCCTCTACACTCTGCCTTCCACCTGTCATCTTAAAGAGCTAGTATGTTGTTTTTGTAATGAGTTAAAGTTCTTAAAATTAATTTCTTGGAGATAGGGAAAATATATATATATATATATATATATATATATATATATATATATATATACATAAGCATATACACACAACACACACATACACAAAATTGTATGGCTGCTCAGGGGCTAATTTTGCAGCCAGAACAAATGCAGGAATGCTGCCTTTTATGATAACTCAGCATAATGATACTGGATTATTATCTGGTTGGAAATGATGTTTGGAATATTAATAATGTAGCAGGGCTGGTTTATGATTAAACATCGGTTTAAAACCAAGTTATGTAATGGTTTGAGGGGAAAGGCCAAGGGGAAGCTTGATTCTAGCAAGGTCAAGAGTGGGTGATGAAGTGGTAGAAAATACAGCCTGGACTCTTCTAATTTTAGTTCTTGTCTGCAGCACCTTTTAATCTTCTCTACCTAATAGTTGCCTTTGTCTCTTTGTTTTGAGACATTGAAAAGTCTTATAGTAAACAGACAAAATACTGATGAGATTAAAAACTGGATAGGGGGCTGGGGTTGTGGCTCAGTGGTAGAGCACTTGTCTAGCATGTGTGAGGCACTGGGTTCAATTCTCAGCACCACATAGGGTAAATAAATAAATAAAATATAGGCATTGTGTAAAACAAAACAAAACAAAAAACCAAACTGGGTATGGTTGATCACCAGTTTCTAGTCTGTAAGTTAATGTTGCTATCTAGGTTGGAGTTTAAACACAATAGTCATTTTTACGACTGGAGCAGAACAGGCTAGCTTAATTCACCTCCTTCCTGCTCACCTGTCCTTCTTGTTATCTCTGGGTTTCACTGTTTCAGTATCACTGTCATCCTGTAAAGGATCTAAGAGATGCCAAGGTGAGCTCATTGTCAAGTCTGGTACCAAAATATGAGTCCTAATTCTGTTTACTTCCAATTGGTCTGGTTCCCCATCTGCCCCAATTTATAACCTTCAGGGATGTGCAGATCATTCTCTTTTGACTTGTTTTGTTTGCCTTTGGTGCTAAAGAATTTAAGGAATGTAGTGAATGAATTCTTAGGTTTTAAAGCATTGTATTTTCTGGGTCCCCTAGAATCCTTGTAAATGGTTTCTCTCTTTCTCCATGAACTGCATCCTTTCTAATGGTGGTTGCCAGACTCTGGTGTAAAAGAGTAAAAGTGTAAAAGGTGTACAGGAATGCTCAGTGCAGATTAGCATTCATTGTCTGTAGGCTAAATGAAGTTGTCACAAATATGTAGTATAGCTTTTCAAATGTAGATGGAGTGGCAAAAACATTTATTTGAAAATGTTACTAAATTCCTAGAAGTATTTTTGGTAATTATATGTAACTTTAATTGTTAAGTTGAATTAAGTTTGCCCTAAAAGTTTCTCAGTACATAGTGCATTGTAACCTAACTAGATGTATAAACAAATTGTAACCTAAACTTGTAACAAATAGCTGAGTCTCAGCCAATCACAAGCTTCCTACTGTTCCAACCATGTTCAAATAAGACAGCTGTAACCAATCAGGCTCCTCAGCATCTCACTTCTGTTTCTGTATGTTACTTCGTTTTCTTTGGCTAAATGTAATCTGCCTCTGTGGTGGGTAGAACATTCTGAACCCATTTTTGGTCCAGACTATTGCACAAATGAAGCTTGTTAATGTCTGCAAAACTAGATTTGTTTTAATTTTGTCTTTTAACACAATCAACAGATATTAAACTTGAAGATGCTATAATGGTAAAAATTTGTTATAAAATCCTAATGGGACCTAAAAGTGTAGCTTAATGGTAGAATGGTTGCATAGCATGTGTAAGCATGAGTTTTATCCCCAGCTTGAAGGTGTGGGGGAATCATAGTGTTAGAAAATAATTCTTTTACCAGTTCTTGAAGCCAAAACCATTTTTTTTTTTTTGGAGTCCAGAGTGTTAACCATTACACCATGGAACACTTCTTCAAAATAATTATTCAAAATATAAACCTGAATTTGATAGTTCTTTGTTTCCTGAGCAGCCATGAAAGCATTTTATTTTTATTTTTATTAAATTTTTGGTGAAAAGACTTTTTTTGATACTTAACTTTATTTTGGGTCAAAATTATCTTAATGTGAAAAGATGCTTCTGGGAGAATGTATGGTGAAGAGATTTTGAAGTTCTCAATCCTTAGTGTAGCATCATGGTCCTTTACAATCTGGTCCTATAT